GGGGCGGAGCGCGCGGGAAGGGCCGTGCGCAGCGCGCCGCCCGGCCCCGAGGCGGGAATCGCGGCCAGGGACCCAGGCGCCACCAAGAGCCCCCGAGGCCGCACTGGGGCCGCGCGTGCTGCTGAACACGGAGCTCGCACCGGGCTCAGAGCCTCTCAGAGCTCATGTAAGACCCAGCACAGTCCATCACTTCACACCTAAGTGGAACAGAGACAAACTCGTCTTAAATAGAAATTCACAAGTTTTAGCTTTACTTATCTCTGTGTAATCTGCCCAGATTCACCCGGCAAGGAGAGATCCAGGGATCCAGGAGAGATCTCTGCCACCATCCTGGGAAAAACATACACAGGATATACGTGAACCATGGCCTGAGACAGTGGCAGGATGTTAGCTTTCGGGGCACCCGTCTTGGGGACACACCACCCGCAGGCTGCCGAACGCGCGGCTTGGCCGCCATCAGCCTCTGAAATGCAAATGGCTCCAGACAAACACGAAGCCGCCTGGGCTTATTGCTCATCAGGGCAAAGGAGGGCGGCGGGCACCCGGCGCGGCTCAGATGCTCCCTCGTGGCGCGCGGCGCTGCCGGGCCGTGAGCTCCATGCCAGTGGAGCCCTGGCCGCGGCTGCAGGACGGTTTGAAAGGAAGAGATCATTTTGGGGAAAGCCGAGGCGCCCGCGTGCACTGTGCCTGCCGGGGAGGCCGCCCCGGCGCCGCAGCAGCTCCAAGGTTGCGGCGGCTCCAGGTCAGCGGCCCGCGAGGCGGCTCCGCCACGACAGGCGCTCGGCTCCGCTTAGGCTGCAGTGCCACCTGCCGCCATGCCGGCCCGAGCGGGCTGACTTCCCAGCACCGGGACCCTCTGCGGCGAAACCTTGAGCTAAACATGGGAAACCAGGAAAACCTGGGAGCCTGGGGCAGCGCTCCGCTGCAGCTGCATGTCCCCAGGCCAGGGGTGCCACCACCAGCCCCAACTTCCCTGTCACCTCCCGCCCTCCTCCTGCCCTCCCCAGCCACCTGTGCCCATTCCCGCTGGCCGCTTCCCCTCCTTTCCATTCACCCGCACACCTGCAAGAAGCCAAGTGCTTTCCTGCTGCTCTGGGGTGGGAGCCACAGCCGGGGGAGCTGCTCCTGGCATCTAGGGACACTGTGGGATGGGGGAGCAGGAAGGCAGACCGGGAATTCCCATTTACTTCCCCACGTTGTTTTAGCGGTGTCAACGCTGTAGGAGCAAGTGTCCGCTGCTGAACGCTGCCTGCATCGTCCTGCCTTCCCCGCTCGGCAGGCAAGGCAGGAGCCGCCTGCTCCCACGTGCATCAACGGGGGACACGGTGCAGGCGCGAGGCTTCCATAGGAGGAGCGACACACACAGAGCGGAGGCAGCCTGAGGACACGGTGCCCACGGGGCGCGAGGCTGCCCCGGCACCGCCTCTGCCTCCGCTCCCGCAGCCGAGCGGAGCACCGAGGCCGCTGCCTCCTTAGCATGGAGGTGAAGTCGCTGACGGAGGCGGCACCTGGCCAGGCCGGCCGAGCCGCTGGGATGGAGGGGTGTCCCAGAGCCGAGGGACGGGCAGCCTCCTGGCAGCTCTAGGGCAGTGTTTCCATCTCCTGCACCAGAACCACGAGGGTGCCCTGCAGCCCCGACACGTTTCACCCGGGAGAGTGTGCCCAGGGCTCTGCCCTTCCAAGGAGGGCTCCCACCTTCAGGGTGCTCCCATTCCAGGGTAAAGTCACCCAGCTTCAACCTTCCAGCGCACGAGCGTGGCAGCAAAGCACTTTTCCCAGGTTGCAAGGTCAATTAATTCCAAAACAGTCTCAACAGTCTTTGAATAACAGTCCTTAGACTACAGCTTTATAACAATTACTCATTTTACGAATAAATCCAGTCTTCAGATCTTCCACAAAATTTGAAGAAATCCCGGGAGTTTGGAAACCTGTTCTCCCTGCATCAGGACCATCTCTCGCCTGCGTATCCCTCTGCACTCCCTTCCCAACCCTGCATGACAGGAGGTTTGGAAATGAAGGCTCTTAGGCAGCATAGTTGATTAAGACGGCTTAAAATTCGAGCTTTAATTGAAATGGAAAGAAACATTCCAAGAGGATATATGTTTTATAGATCTGAGTTACCAAATTTTGTTTTCATTGGACATTATTGCAAACATGAACATTAAATCATAAGTGCCGAATAGGAGAAAACTCAAATAAGGATATAATCATACTATATAGTTAAGGGATCGGACCAAATGCTTTTGTAGGCAACTATCCAGATGTGTGGTGCACTGACACGTTAGCTCATAAGATGTAAAGATATCCCTGAATTCACTCAATTTATTTTTTTTTCTGGGGACTGACTACATCAACAGTCTCCTGACCAGTGTCTTCTCTGCCAGCCAACAAATCCCGGTTCAATACACATCTAAAATGATATACACTAGAGGGGCATGTGTTTAATAGTATTGTCAGTTTAAATTACTTGAGCAAAAATTTAAATTCCTTACGATAGAAATCTAAAAAGGAGCAAAAAAAAAAAAAAAAAGAAAGAAAATTGAGAACACCACTGCAATATTAATGCCAAATTGTTACTTTTTTTTTTAAACATATCTGTACAGCGACATAGCAAAGAATGCAGTGATCACAATTCAAACCAGACAGCAGTCTAAGGGAATGCTAATCCTGTATACAGCAGATCAGAAACACTCCCACCTTCAGATGCTCCAAATATGTCAGCTACCCTAACGCACTCCAAACCAGTTGTACCTACGTAGGACATTTTGGTGTGAAAAAGTTTCTGTAAAGTTCCCTTTGTTTCCAGTGTTTTTCTTGTACAAAATATTACAATGATTTTTTATATATTTACAGACTTGCACAGCTAGAAAAATACAAATTACAATTGGGCTTGGCAATCAGTTCTTTTCTTTAAATACAGGATTTGGAAGGCAGATTTCAGAGCAATAGCTGTAGTGGTAACATATCCTGCACTGAGCAGCTTTCCTCCTCAAGCAGCTCAAGCCTAGAGAGCAGAACTGCGGCGAGACGGGGGCCACGGCAAGTGCAATGAGTGCAGCCCCTCTGCCCCCGGCGGCAGGGAGGCCCCCGAGGGACGCAGGGTGGGCAGGCTGGTGCACAGTACGGAGAGATTCATAAACTGAACATTCAGCTCATTAACATCCATTGGTTTCACAGGCAGAGCCTGTGCTAAAAAAGGACAGCCAATGTAGCTTGTAGGAGAAGCAGACATTGAGTTCATGGGGTATTATACATAATGAACAGACATGCAACCACAGGTAACATTTCAGGAGCATTTGCTTCAAGCAAGCCCCAAGGTTTTAAGTTTTTTTCCTTTTTCTTTTTTCCTTTTTTTTTTTTTTTTTTTTTTTTTTTTTGAGAAGAGGCCAGGGAGAATTTTTTGCTTTAAAGCTACAGTATCTCTCATTATGGCTTTTAACACCCCGCCTTTCACTGAGATGAGGTAAGTGTTTCTAGCGAAATGGTAACAGTTGAGCAAAACAAGTTTCAATGGACCGCAAAACTTTGTACACAGGTGTAAACAGTTCTCCCAAAAGGGGTTGCCAAACCGAATTGTAACAGTGCAAAAAAAGGGATTTTATTTTGTTAGAAAAGGTTGTTGAGGCATCTCGGACATTGCTAGTAGCTGTCAATCCACTGAGCAAATCCTCTTTCCACCAGAGCTCTGTTTATCGACACCACCTAAAGGGAAGGGTGGAAAGACAGAGGTGAAGAGACCGTGAGGCAGTCGCACCCCCAAGCTCCTAACGCCCCACGGGCGCACGGGCACTGCCGGGCACGGTGCAGGACCCACCTCGTCACCCAGCATGCTCCACAGCTGGATCAGCGGCAGCCCCGTGGCACTATCGTAGTTCGTCACCTGCAAAGGCAGCAGACACCGAGTCAGGGGCAGCGGGCCCGGGCCGAGCCGCAGGACACGGGCAGCAATGCAGGGGGGACAGCGCGCGACGGGGTGGGACACACTCCAGCAGGTCTGCTCTGCTCCCTCCGTCTGCGCCAGCACCCCCTTCCCTGCCCCCACCAAGTCTGCCTCTGTCCTCACCTTCTTTAGAGCCACACGCAGCCGCAAGGAAACTATCCGCCTGCTCCCAGCACTGAGATTTTTCTTCAAGATCCCAGCCCAGCAACTAGGCTTAGAGGCCCGGGCTTTGTTACGATAACAGTAGCAGATAACGAGCACAGAAAAAAAAAACAGCCAGGCTTTTGCAGACAGCTCTCACGTACCTGTGCCAGCAGAGCTGTCCCTCTGGTCATCTCACTAACAGCTGTGTCAGCTTCTGATGAAAAATGATCCTCATCTTTGAAAAGAAAAGAATATCAGAAAACAAATGAGACATTCACTGGCTTTAAAGAC